CTTCCATGGGCCTCCTTGCAGCGCCAAGTGTGGTGAAGCCCTTGACCAATCTTTTCTCCACTTCACGAGACGACCCCGGGTCCAGTTGGGAGGACTCTGGTGTTCGTGACACTGAGACGTCGTCCGCACCGAAGGCTGTCGCTGCTGATCGGCATCAGTCCTCTTGCCGCTTGCCCAGCAAGGTGGCATCGCAGGCATACCGCACGCTGTCAATGAGTCCCCCCCTCCACCCTGATGCCGCATTCTCCTTCCTGCGGCTGCTCGAGTAATGGTGACGGGGATACAACGTGATGCGCACCCTTCGGGATGTAAAGCTCCCAGGAAGGAGGTTGATGAGACGGACAGACAGACACAGTGGCTGCACCCACCGGCTCAGACCTAAGAATAACGGGAGAGATGACCCAGGCCAGGGAGGCGCTTCTTTTGATTGTACACGGGGGTCCCTCAGTTGGAATCCACTCAACGGCACAATAACTCGCATTTCTTGGTTCTGCTGGACCGAATGCCTGTTCGTCTTGGGTATGGCTTCCCCGTGGACACGGTGCTCTGGAATCCCCAAACGTGCGCATCATTTGTGGTCCACACAGTCAAAGGCCAAGGCCAAGTCAGTAAGACAGAGATAAAACACTGTCCTAGTATTTCTCTGCTTTTAGCCAAGATCCATAGGACATTGGCAAGGATCCCTCCCGGTCCACGATCTCTTCAGAAGTGGGCGGTTCCTCGTCCATGCCCGGCTGCAGCCATTCTGTGATCCTTGTCGGTCAAATCCCACTTGGCTGTGATCGTGATGATCCGGTTTGGAAATCCCCACCTTATCTTGGAGCACACCTTTCTTTCTTCCACTGGGAACAGCCTCTCGGGTAGCGCCACGGCCCAACACTGACTGGTTCGATTCTGAGCTGCATAACCACTAAAAAGCGTTGGCGTTTCTGCCGTGACTGTTGGATCACCTTTCTTTGGATTGGCTGGCCAGAAAGGAGTTCCGAATTTCCTGGCCTCGAGGAGCGGGTGCCTCAGCTTCACGCTTGTTTGTCGGCTGCAACATTTCTGTAGGATTCCGCGGCCCCTGGAGCCCCGTTTTCTGGCAGGGCCTTTGTAGCAGTACGCACCTCTTCCTCCAACACCGTCAGCTCTTCCTCACCCGCACGGGTGGACTGTCGCCAATTCTGCTAGCTCCGATGATTCCGTGTCTCTTCTCGCCGCTTTGGGTGGCTCTGGGGTAGTGGCTCCCTCTTCTCTGAGGTTCATGCCTCCTACATGCCATGCTCCACTTCGCAGCGGAGGGTTACAGTGTTTCTTTCGCCTGCCTGAGTTGCCACACCAGCAAATGAAGGCCCTGAAACCTCTTTGTGATTCTCATGCCATTGAGCTCAACTCTGCTTTGAGGAGGGGGCTCTTCCCCAGTCCTATTTCCAGTGCCTTCCGACCCGAGGGGCCCACCTTCTGGCAGTATCATCAGACAAGGTCCTACTGAGCGCTCACATGGTTTCACTGGCCAATTAATTCTCTCTGATGTCGCTCGATCGTTGGGTCCTTCTTCCCCGTCTGTCTTGGTCTGGAAGCTCTGCTGAAACCTGGCCGCCCTGGCTGGCATTTGAAATACCAGGGGCACAGCTTCTTGTATCACAGCAACATGCCTGGCAGAGAAGGTTGGGGCAGAGGATACCTTTGTGCCAATCTGCACCGTCAGGTGACATTCTGGCCGCTTCTCCGAGGAGCATCCAAAGGATACTGGTTCCAACCAGGGTGCAGAGTTCACTTGAGCGGTGGAGGGATACTTTGTAGCTGAAAGCTCTCCAGAGGGCAATTCGGAAAGAATGTATCCAATAACACCACCCCACTTAGAACATAGTCTAAGGAAAGGAAGAGGCTCCCACACAAAGACGGGGGCTCACACACCTGATTTATGTCTCTGCTGTGGTTAGGTGCCGATGGGTGGGTTCCTCCTCAGAGCCACCCTCTGCACCGCAGGACAGAGGACCGCCCGGTCCAGCCCCCTCCTCACCATGGTTCTTATGCGTGAGCCCCTTGCGGTACTCATCCCACCTATGGGAGCAGGAGTCTACGGGCAGGGGAGAGGTACTGGAAAAAATCACGACTCACCGAGCAATGAGCCAAGCACATAAGAAGGAAAAACAAACAAAACAAAAGCGTACCTGCAATGCACCCAGAGCCCCTAAACCAACGGCAGACTGCAGTGGGGGCCGAGGGCAGCATCACGCAGCACGCTATGTCCTTCCACCAAGAGCTGGACAGCCAATGGAAACGCGAACCCACAGTTTTAGGCCTTGGGTGAGATAGACGGGTAAGCGCTGTGGAAGAAAGGCCTGGAGACCCTGCTCCCAAAGGGTCTCAGCCTGGAAAACCCTACGGGCCAGCTGGACTCTGTACCCACAGGGCTGCCAGGGGCCAGAAGCCACCAGCTACATGTTTAGCTAACAGACCGTCACTTCAAAATAACATCTCTTTACTGAAATTACAAGGAGCCCTGGTGGCGAAAGGGGTTACACATCGGGCTGCTAACTGTAAAGCCAGCAGTTCGAAACCACCAGCTGCTCCTCGGGAGAAAGAGGAGGCTCTCTACTGCTGTAAAGACTTACACAGCCTCAGAAACTCACAGGAGCAGCTCTACTCTGTCCTGTGGAGTCAGAATCGACCTGATGACAGTGAGTTTTTTTTTTTAAAACACTGAAATTAGATTTACCATGCTGGAATGCTTTTGTCTGCAAGTGTGCTTCTTTGAACAGGGATTATAAATGCAGGAAACTCACTTACAAAAGAGTGATTGAGTGGGCAGTATCACCCACAGAATGACAGGGGGTAGGGTGGGCTGCAAAAACATGCCTGTACTTTATCCTGGATTATGGGCTATAGGACAGAAGTTTGTATTGCCAGGTTTGGGGTGGGGGGCGCTGAGTTTTCCCTTTTTTGGAAAGGGGCAGTCAGCCAAGTTAAGTGTGGGGACCTAAGATATGGACGCCAGGACCTGGTGTTCTGATCTCTGAAACTCAAACAGGCGGATTAACGTGCAGACGGACCCTCAGATAAAAGGCAATATGCACAGGGCCTGAATGGTGGGACCCCCCCCATCCCTCTTGCCCCCCCATGACCGAACCACAGGTCCAGAGGCTGAGGCGACATCCTGCGGGGCGTGCTTCCACCCCTCGGACAGCAGACCTCACCTGGACGCCCATCTCAGAGCTTGCTATGGACCAAGGGGGCCCTGTGCTTTCCGGGGTGGCATCTTCCAGCCCTCTGAGCGGAGGGGGAGGGGCCAACTCCCTGATGCCGTGTGTGATAGGTAGGCTTATTGTGCCAACCTGCCAATAGGAACATGTGGGATTCATCAGGTCTCAGTTCGATTGGAGTGCAGAGAGATAAATGGCTCTGCAAGGCCCACCCCCTTCTCTCTTGTTCTCTGGAGATTGGACCAGCAAGCTGCTGTTTACTAGTTCTCTGCCCCAACCTGTGAGCAATACCACCTTTGGGCCAGGCCAACACACGGGTTGTGTTGCTAGAGCTTGAGGCTCCTTGGAGACCCGCTTCGCCACGCTGCTGGTGTGTGCACAGCACGAGCTTGAGGCTGGTGGAGTCTGCCACCTTGCATTGCTTGCTTTCGATGAGCTCTTGAGCTACTGACTGCTGGTGACCCACTCTGCTGCTTGCTGCCTATGGGCAGACTCTGCCTGCCTCGCCCCAGGGAGGACTCAACTGTCTGCTTCCTTGACCTTGGACCCGGCAGCCCACATGAGCTGAAGGACTTCCAGTATGTTAACTGTTCCACGGAGGTGAGTTGAACTGAACCCTCTGTACTGCTGTGTGGACTAATTAGCTATTATATTCCTTCTTTCTGTA